GTGCGAGCAGGATTCTTCTTGGATCCCTCAGGACTGCGGATGTTCTCAATCTGGTTGTTGAGAGATTTGAGGGTGGAGTCGACCTCAGCATCATGCTGGCGGAGACTTCCAGAAGCCTGGTCAGCCCTCATGTACCTGAGAGGATCAGGTGACTTCTCAGTCTGACCCAAACCAGCGAAGGCAGACATGTCAATACCAGGGCCAGGGGGACCAGGAGGACCAGGGGGTCCAGGGTTTCCAGGGGGACCCTGAGTCAAAAAAGCATTGAGAGGAAGGTGGATTGATTATACATATTATTGCCCACCTTAGAATGAAATAATAAATAACACCACATATTATATTAACTTAAAACCTGCATAGATGGATAGGTGAGGACCCGACATGTCCTTTGTATTCTGGTGTAGCTTCACTTCGGCACATGCTCTCAGAGTGTAAATCACATCTGGCTTAAGGGCAATACACCCTGACATAATCAGCTCCTGAATTAGGTGCTTAGAGGTAAACTCGGCAGATTGTGTGTGTATGTGAGGCTGGAAAAGGCAGGAAGCAAGTCATTTTGATCAGGTAAGATGCAGGCCAGCTAAAGGCAGGGCGAGACTAGCAATTGAGAGCAGACTTAGGAAATCAGCTCATAGTTCCTCAGACCAAATCTTGTGTTGTGGTCAGAAACACAGCAGACTGTATTTCGTGGATCTTACATTTTGCCCATGTAATGGTGTCTATGGAATCATTGGATGTGTGTTTTAGATTAGGATAGGGTTGTAAAATGGTGATGCTTATTGTGGGTCTCTGAAGATTTATGACGGCATGGCCTGATACCCCCCTCTTTATGGCCAAATAATTGTTAAACATCATTTAACTTGAATTCTGAGCTTCCATATAAATGCTCACCCATTCTTTGTCACATTTAATTGTGAATTATCAACTTTAATAAGATCAACTTGACAAGTTCTGGTGATTACTCACAGCAGGACCAGTCTCTCCACTGCGACCACGAGGTCCAGGGGGTCCAATTGGTCCTGGCAGACCGTTTGCACCATCTTTTCCAGCAGGGCCAACAGGTCCCGGTGGTCCCTACATGCACAGAGGGTGAAAAACGCTTGATGCTAAGCTCTAAAGACACGACATTTGAAGAAACCTTTTTTAATTTATTTTTTTATTATTATTATTTTTTATTACAATTGAGTATTTTGGTAGGTTATGTACTCACTCTTTGTCCAGCAGGTCCAGCAGGTCCAGTAGCACCTTGGTCTCCACCTTGACCCTAGAACACATGATAATTACATTTATATAGTACATATTTTACTAAATTATTTGCCTTCAGTCTGGATGCTTACCGGAGGTCCAGGCAGACCCTGCAGACCAGTGAAACCTCTGTGTCCCTTCTGTCCTCTCTCACCAGCCTCTCCAGCCTCCCCCTTGTCACCGCGGGGTCCTTGGGGTCCCTGAGAACAATTGGACAGCATCCTAATTTATCTTTGTTTGCCAGATAAAATGTTTTCACTTTGTACACACCAAAGCTCAACTTGACTCTTGCAGTGGGTTCCAATTCTGTCTCCACATCTGTTTTGTTTGTGTGGATCAGATGCATGTATGTTAATGTTTATAAAAAATACATACAGGCATTCCTCTGGCTCCAGCAGGCCCTGAAGGTCCAGCAGGTCCTTGCGCACCCTGAAAAACAAAAAAAAAAGGTGGTGAAAATGACTGGAATAGATTTTGAACTTGCATTTACTGTTATCAGACCTTTTAATAATGTGTTAAAATGTAGTAGAAATGTTCTATGTAAGTGAGGGTCATTGCCTTCATCATCTAGTAGGATTTTCCCCATTTTTAAACATGCCCCTCCATGTAACAGTTAAGAATAGTTCAGTTATACCAAACCTATAGGTAACTAGTACTATTAAGAGTGCCATTTTGCTAAAGCACTATGGTAACCCACAAGGTAGAAAGACAGGTTTGCTTTTAAGGAGCAAATAATGTAGATTAATAGTAACAACCATCAGTGATGCTTTATTGAAATACACTAAATACGTTTCATTAAAAAGGAGAAAAGAGATCATTTAGTCTGGGATGAAACACTTGAGATATCCTCCTCTGTCCTTGTGTGCTGCCTCTCGTTTGATTACAGCAAACATTCTACTGTATTGAAAAAATGACATCACATTTTAAAGACGTGTTGGTGCTACTACTCACAGCCTCTCCCCTGTCTCCCTGTTTGCCGGTGGGACCAACTGGGCCGGGAGCACCAGGAGCACCTGGAGCACCAGGAGCACCAGCAGGACCGGTGTTACCACGATCACCCTGCATCACAGATTGAACATGATTTTGTTTATGCTGAAACCTATTGCATTTTCAGAAGTTTACTCATTTTACATGCAGTTTTAGAACTGTTCTACACTTGACTGGATCAATACAACTCATTGAAGGTAATCACTGAAGTAAAACATCAAACATCCAAAATAACAGGTTTATTTGAATCACAGGTGCTATTTTTTTTTAAAGTCAGGAACCACTAAGATAAAATCAGTCATGTTAAATAAACTTTTATATTTGTATTCCATCATGAAGAATATTTAAAATCTGGCTGCTAAAATGCCTTTAACAGAACATGTATATGTGAATACCATAGAATCCACCAGTGTATCATCTGTAGAATGAGTCTGTATTTCTCACCTTGATTCCAGCAGCACCATCTCTACCAGGAGGTCCATCAGATCCAGAGTTTCCCTGTCAGATGACAGAATATTAAGTATTAATAGCTTTCACATCCACAAAGCCAGATGTCCTATTGAATACAGATCAGGTGCATAATGAACCCTGCTCCAACAAAACACATTATAATTCAGTGTAAACACAATGCAAATGTATACCTGATGCAAATAGAAATGCATTTTAATGGGTTTTGCCTGAATATCAAAATTCTGCCACTGAAAACATTGTGGCAGATGTAAATCCATGGCCATTCACTGACCTCTCTGCCAGGCTCTCCTGCAGGTCCAGTGAGTCCAGGAGGTCCCACGGGTCCCGGGGGTCCACGGTCTCCAGGGCCACCAGGCGCTCCTTGCTTTCCAGGTTCACCCTGACAGGAAAGCCAAGGAATTATTATCACACTTTAACTAAGTCTATTGAATCATAAGACATCACAAATTATCCGATGATGCACTGGCACATTCATTCACACAATTATGATTATATATTCACTATCCCATTGAACACAGATAGGGTTATATCACTACTGTTATACACGATTGCTGGTGCACACTCTGACTGAGTAGAACCTCTCATTTGAACCTTATGCACGCACAGTCAGTGCCCAGGTGGATATAAAGAGATTATCTCATTTTGATTTATTCCGACAGCTCCACTCTTGTCATTCTCTAAAATCAGCATTGACACCTAATTCATTCTGCCAAAAAACCTGTTAACTTAACACAACAGCTGGAAAATCAGATGTCTAAATCAATTTTAGTAGTTTTTCCCACAAGGACAATAAGGACAGTCTGTTTTCTACTACACTGAAAAGTTTAATTGCTAGTTTATTTACAACCAAACCAAATGACAATAAGTTACAGAAAACCGCAGGCTACTTAATCTGCAAATTGAATTTAGTTTTTTATATGTTTGAATGAAAATATTCAGATTTAAGAATACAGAACTACTACTACTAGTTTTGGCTGTTCTCGTTACGAGTCGCCACAGCAACTGTCTGCATATATACATTTGGCACACATTTTACGCTGGATGCCCTTCCTGACGCAACCTAAATTGGGAAATATTTGTATATATATACTAATGTGGGCAATTTAGAGTCGCCAACCAAATTTAAGAATACAGAACATGGCATGAAAAATGCCTCAGTCCATAAATTTCAAACTTTGAACACCTGCTGTCTTCAAAGGGACAAGCTTGCAGAAATCTACACAGCATTACAGAAACTGTATCTACAGTTCAAACCTCACTTTTGTTACTAAAAACACATTCTCAGCTTGAAACATTCCTGGCTGAGTTTGGCATCAGTGCTGCTTTCTTGGCATTTTTTTAATGCACACTGATGAATAATTAATGGTCAGGACATGTCCACTGGGATGTTTTAAGTACACGACATGGCACATGTCACTTATCAAAAACAGTGTGAGATGTGCGCGTAGCAAGCCTTCTTGTTATAGTTCATATGGTACATCAAATAAAGTCAGATCACCAGGAGAAAAGTCCTGTGGTTACTTACAGAGGGTCCAGGCAGACCAGGGAATCCTCTCTCACCACGCTGGCCAGGTAGACCAACAATACCGCGCTGACCAGCCAAACCCTGAGGACCTGAAGGACCTAGGGCACCCTGAGAGGGAAAAATACGAGTCGGAAAGCACAATAAATGTGTGTTAAATCCAATTATTTGGCATAATGTAATTATAGTTATGTGATTTTTCATTTTTTTTTCATGTATAAAATAATCTTTAAAGCACAGAAATAGTTTCTATGAATGATACAAGGATGATAAGGCTGATCCTTATAGTGATACTTTAGAGTTAAAATAAATAAACTTAATTTAGCAATCACACCACTTTTCTAGACCTGGCAATAAAATGCAAAATTTTTAGACAAATGATCATTTACCTTCTCTTGCCTATTTCCAATTACCTTCCAAGATTAAACCACAAAAGTCAGATTTGTCATGTTCTCATCCAAATAAAACTTCTACCCAACACTACAACAGTATTTAACACAATCAGATCTCAGAGGTTAGAGTAACATTTTGTGGAACATGCGATTTATTCTTTAGCCAACAGTTTATACAGTAAATATGAAACTACAGTCAGCAAGTACTTATCTTAACATAAGGACTAGAAACAGGGGAAAACTGTTAGGCTGGCTCTGTTGAAGGGTAAATAAGATCCACCTGCCAGCACCTGTAAAGCTCACTAAACTTACAACTAAGTGTAACAATAACATGTGTGGGATAAAACAGTGATTTCTGGAGTTTGTTGTTGCACACCACCCAGCAAAGACTCCTTTGAGTTACCAAGCACAGAATACAAAGCAAGTCATCTTCATGCCTCTGTCTTGACAAGCTTTATTTCCTGTTACTTCTTCCACCTTCTTCTGTTTGTGTCATGTTTCATGCTTCTTTACTTTTGCAAACACCTTTGATTTATATCTTCTGTCACCTGGGACTTTACACCTCCCAACTGCGGCTACACAAATCAACATCAATCTCACCATCAAACCTTGCTGGTCTACTTCATCCACACTACCACGGTCCACTCTGACACATATCCTGCTGTGGAACAACAAAGCCTCCCTGAACCCACGTTCACAATAAACTGTAAGTGTCACCTGAGACACACTGGTTCAGCCGACAGACACACTGATGTGTTGATACGTGGCACAAGATCTTATATATGTAACCTATACTGTAGGTGGGAAGGTTCCTCGACCCAGCAGCTGTCTTTATGTTTGAGTATGCACTCATCTGCCATTATCTTGACAGGAACTGTCATGTTTTTATAACGTGTGTGTGTGTGGGTGCGTGCGTGCATCTGTGCATGTGTGTAGGCAAGGTAATAGCCAGGGGTCCTGTCATCAGTCTGTCACAAGGCTTGTGCTGCCCGGTGCTGTCATACATCTTGATCTGCTATTACAGTCAGTGATGGACACTTGTTATTAATGGAATGTGTGCTCTGCTGCTGTTTGTTACTAGTGAAATTGGCTCTTTGGGCAGACGGGGCTGTATAAAAGTTGAAAGATGTGGATAACAAAACACATTTAATCATTTTACTTTTTTCTGCAGAGGCACCTGTGATCACCATGATTGTGTTCAAGGAGCTGTGCGGTCTCAAGAGAAAGTTAGAGTGGCTAAATATATGTGCATGTGGGTGCGAGAGGGACCGGAGTGATATTTCAAGCATCACAAGGTCAAGAAATGACAGATTATGTAAAAGCCCAGCAGTGACTTGAGTGTTATATGGAAGAATATTATTCGAGAATGCCAAACTCACAGGAAGACCGTCCTCTCCAGGATCTCCTTTCTCTCCAGGAGACCCAGCAGGGCCGCGGAGCCCAGCATCACCCTGTCTGCCTGGGGGTCCACCATCTCCTCTCACACCCTTGGGTCCATCTTTACCAGGAGGGCCAGCAGGACCAGCTGGTCCAGGATTACCCTAAGAAATGGAATGAGAACAGGAGAAGGAACATACATTAAATGGAATACCAAGCATGAAAAACTACATTATAACACCTGTCAGTTCCATAATATACAGGCACACATATACAGTATGTACATGTCATATTTACAGAGCCAACATGTTTCTAGTATTTCATTGAGCCTCAGGGTGTCTGTGCATCTTTAATTAACCTCACATATTAACATTCTTACACTGTCAGACGTTTCTCTCTCAATATGTTGCACTTTTTTTTAGCAAGTCTCTAAAAACATTCCAAACAAACTACAACTCCCCCTGCTGTGTCAGACGTGCTGTTTTGGTAGTGCGTAGGTGCTGAAACAGCAAGAGCACATGCTTTACCAGTGCTAATTTAAAAAGGCTTCCTAGGAGACAATAACTCAGGTGGCTGTTAGACAACATTCGTTTATCTTTTCTTCTGCACCTGGTCCTTGCTTGTAAAAACTAAAGAATCCCCATTTTCCCTCCCCACTCCCATAACCAATCTGACAATCCATGTCTTAAAACTGAATTGTGTTATTTATAGTACTTCATATTATAGTGGTTTAAAGGTGTGAGGGTTAGGGTTACAATATATATCAACTCTTTTTTTTAAAGTTTGTTTTTGTTTAATGTTTTAATGTCAAGTTTATGTAAAAGTACACCGGGTCAAAATATTCATTCTTTTAGAATATACTGTATATCATATGTCATGTCATGTCATGTCATGTTTATTAAACATACAATGTGCATGTGAACTTAGTTTGGGAGACGAAGGCTTTTGGTTTTGCTAGGCTATAAGGAGAGTGAACTTACATTGGGGCCAGGGGGTCCAACTCGGCCAGCAGCTCCAGGGAATCCAGTGGCACCCTGAAAGTAAATAATAATTTAGACAAAGCTGAAAATAATTTAATAAAACAATAGTTGTTGTATGTGCTACTATAAGAGAAAAACAAAGTAACTTAATATTTATAAGAACTGAAATTGAGACTCTTTGCTAAGAACAAAAGTATTTCCAAAAGGTCACTTACAGGAGGTCCCTGAGCACCACGAGCGCCTTTAGGTCCAAAAACACCTGTAGGTCCCTGGAATACACATACTGTCCATTACTGTCAGCCTTTTGTCTTATGTTTTTTAGAGAGCAATATGAACCTATCTAAACCATTTCAACACTGCTGTGAAATAATATTGGAATCTATTTAGTCTGTCTCTGCTAGTTTTCATTACACTTAGTGACAGGAACAGCTGTCACTCTGACTTGATGTTAACCCCACCACAGATGTTCAACATTCTGTTGATTTGTGCAGCTATGACATCTGTCTCTTCTCAGTCGATGTTTATCTTGCATGCAATGTTTTTGTTTATTAAAAAGAACATTTCTCTAGACTGCAAACATCAAATGTTTTGCTATAAGTCCTTATTATTCAGGGTTTAGACAATACTAGAAAGAATGACTGTTTGGTTTATCAGCTGTGTGACTGGAATGACACCCACTGCAGGTCCAGGGGCACCAGATGGGCCTTGGGGTCCAGGGGCACCAGCATCTCCCTTCTGTCCAGATTCTCCCTGCTCTCCCTTGGTTCCAGGCTGACCGTCAGCACCCTGAAAGAAAAAGGCAGTTATGAAACATGCGATTACATATGTCATGTTTATATTTGTAAATGAGAAATTTGTTAAAAATCAAAAATGGTGCTACTTGATTCCCTAAAATAAATTTGGTGAAAAGAACATGACACCGATTTTATGCATAAAGGCAAGTTAAGGCTATTTTGCCTGTGAAAACAGTTGTACTACGGTGTGCGTTTACAGGGCAAGGAGGGTCTAATGAAAACATGTTGAGTTGCACTATGGGAGGATTAGGCTTCAGCATTGCTTGGAGCCTGAGCCAAACTAGGGACTATTAGAATGCTGCTACTTTCATTTTGATCATTTTTTTTGTTAATGAGTCTCTGTGAACCTCCAAACATTGTGGAAGCACAATACCAAATCACTGGAGTATACCTTGAAGACTGAGAAGGCATATGCAAGTTTACTTCAGTACCCAATAAGGAGCCAAGGCATATTCCAAGCACTAAACTTTATGTAGCTGCAAAGAAGACTTTATATGAACAAATATGAAACTTTTAAAGTGAGTTTACATAACTTTTTAAAGAAGTGATAACATATTCTTACTCTTCATTAGTATTAATAAGCAATAAAATACACCCTTGCTCAATTCACTATGCTCTGATTGAACCTTAATCGGTCTGGTATGACCATTAGCCTATGGTTAATGATGTTAGCAAACTGTGGACAGATATTGCCATTTCAGTGACTTTATTACTATTCTCTACAAGTGCTACAGCTGCACAACATTTTATCCACACCAATACTGTAGGCCTATCATTGCTCATAGCCACAGATTTCCTTTTAGGTAGCAGCAAGTGACATTTACTAGAAATATGCTTAAAACTGACAGAAAGGCAGTGCAGAGGATGTGCTTTCTTAAACTTGTTCTATTTCTTTCATTTTCATTTCACATACGGCTACATATGTAGTCACATACACATGTGACTACTTCAACAATTTAAAGTCTAGAAGTGTAAACCCGGATTTCAGAATATTTAATAAGCTGCTGCTGATGTGTTATGTAAAATCTCTGTCTGATTGCAGTCTATGTGGTGTTAAGCTGTGATGTGAAGTCTGTGAGCCAAAAACATTTAGCCATCTTGGCATAAATCCAATATCTAATCATAAAGCCACACGAAGAAAAAAATTATGAAAAATTGTGTTGTCACAAAAATGTTTTTAATAAGTTTGATCCTTCTACCCATTTGAAAGTGTTCACCTTATTAAAAATATTAATTTGAAGGCTGCCTGGAGTTTTTGGGAGGAACTTAATGGATGACTGATACTTCTGAATGTCAGTCCACTAATCTATCTCCACAAAACAGTACACTGCAGAAACAAGACTCCCTGATGGCTAACAAAGGTAATTAGATATCCAACAGTTTTCAGATAACAGTAATAGGAAGAAAAGCAGTGTCATTTCAGCTCATGACCCTTTTTTGATAAAGTAAAACATGTCCATTATGAAGGTGGAATTTAATTTTCAGGTAAGAAAACACATGCTGAGGTTCAGTATCACCTTTCCACTAGAGAATAACATAACCACATTTTTACTGCTACCTGATTTGATTATTATCACACACACCTACATCTACTTTGCTTTAAACTTTATAATGTTCAACATTAAAGGAATTAGGAGTTAAATGTGGCACTTGTTACTTTACTAACTTTGTGTAACTAGTTTTTCATAGAGTGCTAGTGTCAGTGCTTTAAGGTGACGTGGAGTTATGTTATAAAATACTTATGTCTTCACATGTTCATCAGATTTTTGCAGAGGCTAAGAGCTGGTCAGTTTTGTTTGTTGTTACTTACAGGGGGTCCAGCAAACCCAGCAGGTCCAGGAGGTCCAGTTTCACCTCTGTCACCCTGAAAGAGGAAGGAAGAAAGGCAGCAAAAACACTGGAAGTTAGTTCAGGGTGCAGTGCTGAGTACATCATCATCACCTACCTGGGGCTTTTTGTTCTAAGGTACCATATATGCACAAAATTCATAAAATGAACTCTTTTTGTACTAAAACAATGGTATCCCACTGGTTAAACTGAAACACTTACAGGAGCACCACGGGTGCCAGGAACACCAACAGGACCAGCAGGACCTGATTCACCCTACAAGACAACATAGCAGCAGCATCAGCAACACATGAGCTACAGTATAAACTGCAGATTCAGATACACAATCAGTGAATGAATCCTATTTACAGACACAATAGATACATGCAAAATCATTTTAGTGCCAGTATGCCAAAAGGTGCAGACTAATGAATATAACACACCTTCTCACCGTTGGGACCAGAAGGACCAGAAGGACCAATGGGACCAGTGAGACCCTGTGACAGGAAACAGGAATAGACTTTCAAAACATTTTAACTCCATGAAAAATCACTTTGTTTATTTGGTTGGTTGATTTTGTCAATCAGCCCTTTAAAATGAAGTCTAATAATATTATTAGAGTAATATTTGTAAGTATAAAGACTGAACATTTTTTTTAAAAGATCTGAACACTGGCAAAGCCATAAATGCTGTGAGTTTACTGCATATTCATCAGTGACTATTAACATTCATGAAAAACACAATAGATTACAATCACTCACTCTGGCACCGTCTTTGCCAGGAGCACCCTCAGGTCCTTTCTCTCCAATGTCACCCTGTGAGAATGAAAAACAAGTCAGTCCCCTGGTGGTTAGAGGCATAAAACTTCATATCAAGTAGAGAAAATATGAATGATTTATTATTAACACTTTGCTCCTCTCGTGGCTTACTCTGTCTCCTTTGGGTCCAGGAATGCGCCTCCTCTCTCTCCAGGCATACCCTGCAGGCCTGGGGGGCCCTGAGTTCCTTGGGCACCAGCAGGTCCAATGGCTCCCTGTTATGGAGCAGAAATAAATGAGAGATGCTAGCACAATGAAGACAGTGGATTGAGAAACAGACAGAACAAGTACCTCAGGTGAATATCTCTATGTGTGCACCTGTTACAGATTTTAGTCTGAAACCAAATTTTTGTGAGGCTGTTTTATTGACACATTTCAAATTGCTTATGGTAAGACTTTGTATTTCCTTTATTCACGAGTCAAAAATAAAAAATGGAGCTGAGTGCGCATCTACTTGAGACCCCCACTTATCTTTGTCTTGACATGTTCTGTTCAAGGTTCTCGAGGGATTGAACAAATTAAAGAAACTACAACACACTGAAATCCAGCTCAGTTCAATATTATTCATCTGTTCAATTGTCAAATTAAAGTAAGCTTTTACCAACTTTATGGATGAAGTCTAATTTAAAAAACAACAGAAAAACAACCGAAACTTATCTCAAATTCCATTTGTTCATTTTGATGATGGGTCCACCTTTGCTTCAGCGCTTCAGGTGAAAAGGGGAATTTTATCACTTATTTATTCCACATATTAAAGCCAAGAGAATTAAAGTAAATATAGACTTTGACTTTTTAAGTCTACCATGCCCACTCCTCAACAAAAGTTGCCAGGCTTATCAGCAGGACTTTGTGTTGCAGCCTCAAACTGAAGGCCAGACACACAAACACAAACTTTATTGCATATCTCCAGTCATTCAGCTGGAACCATGGGACTCACACAGTCTCAAAATTGGCTGTGAATACATCAGAACTGTGTTTTAACTTAAGGGTCCTGGTGTACACTGTGCTTTATTCAGGAAATCATTCTGCATGTTTCTCAGAATCCTGCTTCACCCTCCACAAAGTGTCTGTTCAGTCCTTCCCTATCACTCATGTCTTTTAATCAAATGTAGTGTTTTATAGTGTAATAGTGTAAAAATCAAATTCAACATCACAAAAGTTTAGTTTATTTGTGTTTTATAGTGTAATAGTGTAAAAATAGAATTCAACAAGACAAAAGTTTAGTTTAGTATATTTTATTGTAAGGTTGGTTTTGTATCCACCATATAGCGAAACAGTATTTATCCAGATGAGTCTAAAGTGTGTACACTTGTATGGACAGTATATAGGTTTATATACAATACATGTGAAAAGGTATTTATAGCATGTACTGTACCTGCATATATATTATGTTTTACTTGTAATTATACAGATGTTTTGGTGGGGCAGTGGGTCCCAACCTTTTTGACTTGTGATTCTTAAAGAAAAATAATGCCTACTTGTGACACTGTCATGCATTCTTGCTTAATTTGGGTTATTTCTCGAGTTCTGAAGCAGAAATAATATCCAGTAATTCACAAGAAAAAAAAAATCTGAAGGAAATGATCAGAAATGTGTTTTAGCTTTCCCCCCTTGATAATTACCTCACAACCCCTTAGATTTGTCCTGTAAAGCCTTGTTAGGGTTTAGGACTGCTACGCTAGATCACAAATGAGCCCCACAATAAATGCACATTTATAAAATTAGACATGAAGCTTTGGGAAAAGTGAGCAGAGGCGCTGATTCATACAGCAAGTGCCATAGAGAGGGTTGTGTGTTAACTAAACTGATCAAGATATATCAGTATCTGGGTGGTTCCTCAAATAAACAACTTTTGGGAGAAAACAATGAATGTACACTTAAAATTGATCTATACTAACACACTGAATGTTTATAACGCAACTCACAAACACCTGAGGTAATTAATATTTAATCATGCAACCAGATGGCTGTTTCTGCTGCTGCATGTGATAGCAATATATCCGAAATCTGTCGCCACAGAATTGTAGCTGTCAGTGGTGTGAGTACACCTGAGGGAATACATTTAATAAACTGGAAAATCAGCTTTTCCCTGGTTTTAATGCTGGACTCACCTTGACTCCATCAGTTCCAGGGGTTCCAGGCAGACCTCTGGGTCCCTGCAGACCCTGAGGGCCAGCAGCTCCTCTCTCTCCAGGGAAACCACGCTCTCCCTGAACAGCGACACAGTGAGAGTCAGTAGGCATGTCTTACGCTCAGCTGACTAAGAAGTAGCGAATGTAAATGAAAACTGTCAACTTACTCTGGGTCCAGTACCACCAGCTGCTCCAGCCTCTCCAGGGACACCCTTAAAGGAGAAACAAACAAACAAACAAACAAAAACAGAAAACGAGAGCAAGGACATGCAGGATCAGTATTTAACAAGTAAGCAATGTATGTTTAAAAACAGTAATTACTACAACTAGTGCTAATGCTACTGATACATTTAGCCATATTAAAGCAGTGGCCAAGCTCAACTCAAAATTATAAGTCAGAGTCTGTCAAATTATTTAGATAACCGCCTCCATCAAATCTTCCGGGATTTCTTTTCACCAAGCCTATGACAGATTAATGCTAGTATTTCCACTGCATATACAGTATATCACCTTACAAGTTACATTTCACCAAAAAAGTGCACCAACCTGGTCTCCAGGCTTGCCTCCCTCACCAGGAGGGCCAGGAGGTCCAGGCAGACCCTGTGTACAGAAGAGAAATAAAATAAGGTATAAAAACAAGGAAACATAAAGAAGAAAACACCGATATAAATTCATGCACAACAATGATTGGCATACCTTGGTTAACATAATATCTATGTAGCAAGAATTATTTACAATAATTAGTGAGCAGGTCAGTGCAAACATATGCACTGGTCAGTAGAGATAAACTGAGTGATGCTGTTATTAATTATATCATTGCAAAAACACCAACATAGCTATTACTGGACTTAGAAACACAATCAGAGAAACAGCTGCATTTATACATAAACTTTAACAATCAAATTAAGATAAAGGTCTGATCAGGCAGACTCACCTGGAAGCCCGATGGACCGGGCTGTCCTTGCTCTCCTCTCTCTCCAGCAGGACCCTATGCAGATAACCCATAATGTATAATAACCATCAACTTCTATCATTAACTAATGGTCAGCAATGTAATGTATGAATGTGATTGTTAAGATGGTGGGACAATAATGCTAAATATACCATTTATGCAGCTCTGATATCAGTAACAACTAATTTGAATTAAAATGCTTCAATATGTTTAGCATTTTAAACCACAAACTTCAAAACAAGCTGAATGTCTGTCAGTCATCTTACAATGTGCCGACATTTCTGTCAAGGACTTTTGTTCCTAGACAAAGCTATCACAGTCTGGGAAATGGAAAGACCAAAGGTTGCTTCTAAGAGCAAACAAAGAAAATGGAAAGATAATATCAGTGTTGAAGCTATATGGAGGATGGAGTGGGGAGATACAGATACGTACAGCAGGGCCAGGGGGTCCAGCAGGCCCAGTTTCCCCATCTTTACCAGGCAGACCCTGAGGAGAGGAAGGAAGAGTGGGAGGAAGGAGGAAGGAGCAGCAACAAAAAGAAAAATATCTGTTGTAAACAATTATATATAACGATGATGCCATTAAGTGACAGCAGGGCACAGTGTTTGACTTTACTTGCTGTCAATAACTTTTGATTGATAAGGACATTTGCAGGGTATTTGTTATTTATCATGGCTCATGGTGTGCCTTTAAATGCTATTTTGTGCAGCTATATATAATTATTGCACCTAGATTTGGTGTTAGAACCACATCTTATAAGAAAAGACAGCCATGTTTGTATATATTCATACCTATAGCCACTTACTGAGAACTAGTTTATTTATCTTTATTTGAAAAGAATATTTCTAATTATTATATATATTTCAAAATTCAGATAATTTCACAATAAATTATTCACAGTGAATTCTGGCAGATGTTAAAATACATTTGGGTACTTATTATTGTGCTTCCTAGCCTAGACTGTTGTCAGGAAAAGTGGAATGTACCTGTATTTGTGGTGCGAGGTCGTCTGAGCAGGTTTTAACACAAGCGTAATTTTGGGTCAAACCAAGCACTAAAATTGCACTGCGCTGCCTAATCAGTACAAACATGACCAGAACTGTGTCTCTCCTCCCACGTCAGTGTAAGTGCGTTCATTCATGACAAGAAAATACCAAACACACCAGTGAGCAAAAAAACATAGACTTGCGTCCAAGGAAAACTGGGTGTGAAGCTATGCCGGCTTTGCACTGGCAGGAAACTAGACCCCATGGTGATATCAGCTAAATGATTTCTGTATTTTAAAATTACAGCACATAAAAGATCAATTTGGAAGATACTAGTACTGCAAGTTATGTAGAGCAGAAAAGGTGAACTAACTTACTCTCAGACCAGAAGCTCCAGCCAGTCCTTTCTCGCCAGACTTGCCAGGTTCACCCTAATCACAACAGAGTCAAAATGTAACAGTTAGTCAAGATGCTGCTGCTGATTTGCACATCACATGGCATAAAACTGTAATGTTTATTTTTGATTCAGGGACAAATAAAACAACAAAGACAACAAAACAAGTTTTATGCACCTAAAATCCAGTTACATGAACAGGTAAACTTTTCCTATGCATTTAGCTTTGTTACTGTTTTGCATTTTAAAAATGTTTATAGAAATTCTTACAGTTGCTCCCTTGGGTCCAGGGAATCCCATGACACCAGGCTGTCCACGGGCTCCCTGTGGGCCCAGGGGTCCTGGACGTCCATCCTCACCAGGAGCTCCCTAGTCAAGTAAAGTCAAGTCGGTTTAGTTATAGAGCATTTAACAAGCTACAAATACTGATCAAAGTGTTTCACAGATGAATTAAAATTTCAAATGAAAATTGTGAAGAGTCAAAAGCAGTGAGGGGCTAATTGTTCTAACATCTGGGGCCACACTGGAAAGTACAATTTACACTTGAATTTCGACTGGGAATGAGGAATGGAGAGATGCAATCGCTGAGATGATCTGATCAGAATCGGGAATTTAGGTTTGGAGTGGGGTCTACCAGAGAAATGCCCAGCATCACCTGAGGATTTGCTACAGCCAGTCATTTTGTTTATATACAGTAGACCCCAAAGGATAAACTGGAAAGCTAGAAAGAAAACAGGTAACGAATAAAATAATCCCGCAATCATAATCAGTCCCCCCTTTGTCTGTACCTCGGCAAAAAAATGAAATCTATAAGTGAACCAGAATTATTTAACGAAACAGGCCCTGAACAGAAAAGCATAACAAATGTGAACATAATGGTCATACATCCAATATGAAAATATTAAAATATAAAAATGTGTGTTTTGAAAATTACAGTGCATCACTGCCTTTCACATTTACACAACTATGCGATGCACTTTATGACAGGATGGCAACACGAGTTAAACTGCCAACTTGAGGGCTATCTACAACAGGAGTCAATTCATAGATTATGATTCAGTTTATCGAGGTTTCAGTGAAGAGTTTGAGTATAAACACCGTTCTAGAGGACTAACAGTTAAGACCAAAATCAAATGTATACAGGATTAAGGGTTATACTGGGGAAAAGGAGCCTGTCTAATAAACTCAGCCCCAAATAAAGTTGAGAAAACACCTGAGCTCTGAATATGAATCCTGAAGCAAGCTAAAGTGTGTGTGATACTATGTTGTTCTAAAACCAGGCTAGTTGAGTGACTTTGAAATACCACTGGGGATAATGTAAGTAAACCACTTATGAGTCATTATGTGATGACAGCACAGTTGTAAAGTTATTACTCCCTTCCTGATTATTACATATATTAAAAACATACATAATTGCTGTTACAATATGAAAAAGTGCACTTACAGAAGGTCCAACTTTGCCTTGAGGACCAGCGTCCCCTGGGCGACCAGTCAGGCCCTATCAGAGAAGGAGGATAGAAAGACAGCCGCGGGATGATGAGAGTCTGACATAAAGGAGCAGACATAAGGAAACATGAAAACATATGGTGCTGTGGGAAACTGAATTTAGACTTCTCAGCTACAGACAGAAATGACTAAGAACTGAAACATGAAAGAGTTAAAAGTGTTAAAGGTGAATTTCACCGGCCCTGTCTAGGGTGTACCCTTGCCTCTGGCCCAGTGTGAGCTGGGATTGGCTCCAGCCCCCCCCACGACCCTCTACAAGATAAGCAGTACAAGCAGTAGTGGATGGATGGATGAATTCCACCAATTTTACACATCAAGGTCTGTTTACAGGTACTGCATATGTGGGAAAAGGTTCTTTAAAGCCTTTAGTGGCTCAAGAGGGAGCTGCACAAAATCTGATATATTTCCTCAAGGCAGCCGGAGTTATGTCTGAAGACCACAAGTCTGACAATTTAAAAAGAAAAATTGAGGTTATATTATATGTGCCTAAAATTGAATCTCTGACTAAACTTTTGGTGGTTGAGTTGCATTGTGAGTAATATACAGTAGGCACCGGTACTGACCAGGAAAAAGAGAATAAAAAAAGACAGGATCTCTAGTTGCTTTGCATTGATGTAAATGTTTTATTTTAATTGTGAGTCTGACAATGTTACAGGAGTGCCATGCTAAATTGTTGGGGGTAATTCAAAAGGCAGTAGCAGGGTTGAAAAACACCGGACCAATAATTTTACCATTCCAAGCAAAATCATTGGACGACCTACCTGCCTGTCAACTTACCGCCTACCCTGCCCATGCACTCAATGCGTGAGCCAAGAGTTTCCCACAAGGCATTGCAGGCAGACGTGACCGCTCTGACAGGTAATTGTCAGTTTAGTTTTGTTTCGGGTGCATTTCTTATTTTCCTGAAATCTGTACATGCTAGTCAGGCAGTGCGTGTTGCAGTGTGTGCTGTTTTGGAGGAGCGGTTTTAGAGATAATTCATAATGAAAGGGTGACATTTATTCAGTTTTTTACTTTAAAATCGAGCTTCTTCTTGCTGGTTTTTCGAGGATCGCCAACCCTACCTTTAACAGAGAGTCAGTGCTGCAAACTGTAATGTGAAAGATTAGTGTTCATCAAGTAGGTAGAGTTAAGTTTAAAAATGCTGTAGGTTTCATGGTGGGAAATATGCAAAACATATTTCATAGACCGAGGAGTTTAATTTACTTTTTATGTGCATTTCAAATGTGCCACCCCTCTGAATCTGTGCCCCAGCCTGGCCACCCTGTCCAAAATGTTCTAGATCCTTTTTGATAAAGCTTATAGTTAGGGCTGGATCAGGTGACCCTGAGCCCTCCCTTAGTTATGCTGCTATAGGCCTAGGCTGCTGGGGGGCCCCATGATGCTCTGAGTTTCTGTGTCCTCTCTCTCTCCCTGTACCTTTCTGCAGGTTGCCCTGGCCCTGGAGCTCTATGTCTCTGACGAGCAGTCACCAGCCACATCGACCTGATCAGTGTTTGATTGTTGTGTCTTGTTGCTTTTCTTCTTTTGTCTCTCCTCTATCCACTCACCCCAACCGGTCGAGGCAGAAGGCCGCCCACCAAGAGCCGGGGTCTGTTGGAGGTTTCTTCCGTTAAAGGGAGTTTTTCCTCCCCACTGTCGCCAAGTGCTTGCTCAAGGGGGATTTGTTGGGTTTTCCCTATGTAATAATATTGATAACAGTAAGGTCTAGACCTTACTTTGTAAAGTGTCCTGAGATTACTTTTGTTGTGATTTGGCGCTATACAAATAAAATTTGATTTGATTTGATTTGATTTGATTTAGATCCTCCCCTGTGTACTGTATGGCACTGGTTTATTGACAGGTTTTAACAATTATTGTTTGTGCATGTTTTAAAGAACATTTCAACAGATCACCATCATCCAGATTTAGATGTAAATAAAGGAGGACCTTACTCTGGCACCAGGCAGACCAGGCTCTCCAGGACGGCCAGGGTCACCACCAGCACCCTTAGGGCCACTGGCACCAGAGGGTCCACGCTCACCTGGGGCTCCCTGTATTATGAGAAAGTACAAAGCAGAGGTTGGTCACTCAGTCAATAGAGGCAACACTTCAGTTCTCACACCCCAGAGGACAGGAGTTTCCCATTTCCCTTTTCCGTGTGAAGGAGTTTCATTGACCTGCTAGAGATGACATTATTTTGTATTTTATTTTGGTGTAAATGAGACTGTGTGTGGGAAAGATAATGCTAAATAAGATGCTGGTTTTGGTGAAATAGGACATTTAGTTCACTAGTGCATGATAGGCTTATGAGCTATGCCGCCATCCTGAGGCCATATTTTGGAGTTGCATGTATAAGTGAGCCTCAGATGTAGGAGCGGGAGTGGTGGCAATTTTCACTCTTTGAGCTTCACAATAAATTATATATTATGTTCTTCATGAGCTCATGAGTTAGGGTGCTGATCTGAGTTCAGTGATGTCATGACTGCTCTCTCAAATGTGCTACTATAGACAAATCTCAAACCTAAAATTCTGCAAAGCCATGCAGGTTTGTAATGTGTATAGACACTACACTTTAGCACTGGAATAGGGGGAGCCTTGTCTTTTTATGGTTAGATTTGAAGGTTATCAAATCATATGAAGTGAAACTGAATTCCAATTTATGATGTGATGTAAATGTGCATCCCACAGTATGTGATAACATTTAGTCCTTCTCTAATTGCATCAAAAACATATGAAAATCTGAGAATATTGGACGTAGTCATCTTTAACAACAATTTTCACATTCAACTTGGGACAGATTGAATATGCTAAGTGCTGTTTCACCGATTTACACCCGTGACTACCGACACTTCAGTGGCATTGATTTTCTGTTTCTACAGCAATAATTAAACCTCTTCTCTGGAACAAGTGAAACTGTGTTGACACTCACCTTTGGACCTGCCAGACCATCTTGACCTGGGAAACCACGGTTACCAGGGGCTCCCTACACAGAAAACACAAAACCAGAGCCAAGGTTATGATTACAAAATTTAAGTCACTGAATCTCATAGTGGCTCTTGACAAGGTTCCCTGGTGGTTCCCAACAACACAGTTTTAATGTAATTAAAACATAATTTGATTGAAATTGTTCATGTTTCAGTTTTACTATCTTCAAATGTGCAATATACACACACTTGTGCAAAACATCACCATTTAAACAATGACAAACTACCATGTATACATATTTTTGGACAAAATATTGTCAAATGTGTGTAGTAAGAGATCTATAATTTAGACAAGAGCAAATCTGTTGTTCTGTATACAGTGAGGTGCTGGAGCAGAGTATTACAAAACAGCATATATTTTTGAACTAGAAAATAACCTGATTGGATGGTACTCACTCTCTCTCCAGGAGGTCCAAGAGGTCCAGCAGCACCAGGTTCGCCCCTGGGTCCTCTCTTGCCCTCTTCTCCTTGTGGGCCAGGTGCTCCCTGGAGGCCAGGTGGGCCCTGAGAAACACACCAGTAACAGACTGTGTTCATACAGGAAAAGAAGCATCCTTGTTTTTGCATATACAAAACCTGGTGAAAAACCTTCAGGAGCACTAACCTTTTTCAGATAAAGTCATTTGAAGCATCAGTCTTCTGAATTCACTTCATCTTGGTAGTGATTACCCATGCTTATTAATAATAATGATAATAATACAAAGGTAAGTAAAAGAAAACAAAACTCACGATTTCTCCTTTGGGTCCAGCTTCTCCTTTGAATCCCGGAATACCTGGGTCTCCCTAAACAGTAATGGATATGCATTAGAGAGAGGGCATCAGGCTGCTGTTATTTCTTTTTACCAATTTATTATGTGGAACAGAAAATAACACTTGTGTATTGTGATTGAATGATTAGTTGAGAACATACAGATGTTCCTTTAGGGCCAAGAGGCCCAGTTGCTCCCTGTGGCCCAGGAGGCCCACGAGGTCCAGGGAAACCAGGAGCACCAGCGATACCAGGAGCACCCTAAAGAGAGAGAGAGAGAGAGAGAGAGAGAGAGACATACAGTAAAGTCAGCCAGCTGACCGGTTACTTAAATATTAGTCTACAATTACCAGTGAATAAAGAGTGAATCAGTGACAAAGATTATAGCCTGTAGGTGCATCAGTGACAGCAGCGGCTACAGCTGTGATGTCCAGAATTTTAAACTTACAGCAGATCCTTTAGCTCCAGGGATACCATCAGTACCTGGGTTGCCCTGTAAAGAAAAGAAGACAATATAGAGTTAAACACAGTCTTTCTACAATTCAGCCATCTTAATTTATTAGTCTGAGTTCTGACAAAAACTGGGCTAAATTTTTTTGACAGACTATCACCTAAAAAGATTACATAAGGATATATTAAAAATGTCATTAAAAGCTGTTATTGTATTCTATTTTACAGCTCATTTGAACCACATCAGAACACTAAGTACATTTGCATTTGCGTTTAAAGCTTCACTTACGGGCGCACCAGCAGGCCCAGATGAGCCAGGAGTGCCAGACTCTCCACGAGGTCCCTGAGCACCCTCAGGTCCACGAGCACCAGTAGGACCAGCTTCTCCCTGGTCAGCAACACAAAAGAAAAAATATAAGATGGCAAATTACAATGCAAGCGCAGACCATAGGAAAGTTAAGCACTTATAAAACTGACAAGCAGCTAAAATAAAGCAGAAGAAATCAATCCAGATAAAACTGGAGAAGTGCATAGGGCTATAAATGTCAACAGATTGCCAAGATAAGGGACAGTATTAAGCTTAGACAAGGTCATATATAGTATAACGAAAGACAGGGAGACTAGATTCAAGAAGAACCTGAACTGAATTTACATGTAATTCAGTTTTCAAATATTGTATGTAAAGGGTGTGGCTTGTCTGTTAAAGGATATAAGGCCTTAAAAGCAAAAATACATCATGTCAGTCCAAATGCCTCTGTATTTCTGGCCTTAAGCTTGGCTGAAAAAACTCCCAATGCCCAACTGTTTTACTCTGTTGCCCTACTGGAATATTGTTGATTTTAAAACTGTTGCTCATACTGTAGCTAAACAGAAAGCTAGCCAACCTACAATGACCTCACGTCTCTTCCAGCTGAGCACTCCCGTCAACTTAGGACCCACTGACCAAAGGATTTAACATACTGCCCACAGAGATGCAGGATATCAGTGCTTCACTCCACCAAGGTGCATGTATCTGTAGGTTTCTCCTAATATGCTTGTCATCATGAGTAAATGTCTGTTCAGTTGGTGTTTGCTTCCAAATAAAAGCCCAGGGTGTACTGTGCGTTGCTCTTCAGTGGAGGTGGGGCAGTTAAACAAGCAAAACAAGCAGTTAGCCTTCATCCTTTAAGTCTTTCTTTTGCAAAGCTGTAAAATATTGTTAGACAGCTACATTCAATAAAGTATAAATCTCAACTCGTCTAGGTTTGTTTTCTTGAAAAGGTGCGCTGTTGTTCCCTCTGGCTATTGGGGGGAATTCACACTCACTACTTCTCATGTTCTCACCAGCTGTCAAGCACAAGTGGGTGTTTTCTGTCCTCCAGACTCAGGTGGACAAACACATGATGCAAAGTTAAGATTTATGCTTTATCAGAAGTGTTTTCAAATGGTATTTTTCAGTTTTATAAGAGAATAGACTTCACCAATGAAGACAGGTTAATCTGGGAAATGCACATTTGCTTTCTTCTCTATCTCTGTTCAAGAGCCACGCACACTAAAGAATCATCTGGGACTGTGTCCTAGTCCTGGGAGGGGAGGGGTGTTTGTGTGCTTATGGCCGCAGATGCTGCTCCTGCTGATATTATTGCTCTCTCTTTGTGGGTGAGAGACACAAATATATGTATGTGACTAATTAGGCCTGTTAAATGTTAATGTTAAACCTGTATTTATAACATATTAAATATGTGAGTTGTCTGGCTAAAATTAATTCATTGGTTATTTTCTGGCTTAAATTGAGAAAGAAAAAAGCTGGTCAGAAAGACACTGAAATTAGAATTGAATGCTTCCAAAATAAATGTATATGAGCATAATGATCACTTTGCTGACTTGCCTATGCTTCTCCAAGGTGTGTTATCCAAAGCTAAGTGCTTAATATTTTTCAGATCTTCTGGGTAAGTATAAAAAAATGACCCAGGCCTCTATCCAGAGGATTTCAAATCATTATTTTCCACCAGCCTCCTCTGGACACAAGCCAGAGATCTGACCACACTGGTAGTATGCAGCCTCATGGTGGTGAATGGAATTCCTTTGCTACTGCTGCTACTCTGTGCAGGCTCAGTAGTATGACATAACAAAGTTTGTAAACGTTTCCAAAAATGGCAGTAAGTAGATGGAATTTTTCTTCTCCCTAAAGCCCACTGTCAAGGCCAATATCTACTGGCTCTTATGCTGAGGTAAGAACTGGGACAAGAGGAGGAGGCACATTGGCCGAATCTTTTTAAAAGTTATGAAAAAAATTCTCTGCATATTAGAGGTGGTGGCTTGTCGGTAGCTAAATAATACTCTTCTAATAATGAAATACTCTGGAGCTGGATAAAAACTGCCCCAGTTAGATCATTTCATTTCTGGACAATGGTTTAATAAGTTGTTTCTGTCTTGCTAGCTTTTTCCTGTAGTGTTTCCTTAAGATGTGCCAGGCCATGCTCATAAAGCTCAGGGTGGAAAAAACTAAAAGGAGGCTGTACTTAATCTGCTCTCAGGGAGTTTAATAGGCAGGCCTGGTCCAAACAGACTGGACAGGCTCCTCAAGGTACAGCAAGATAACCAAATATGAGATTTTTAATGCTTCTTACTATGGGACACTAATTAGAATATTACAAAGTCCTACAAAAATACATAGTTCATAAAGACAGACACACTCTCCTCCAAACAAACATTCAATTGTGCTGTATCCGATGTAGTTTGATACAATACATAACCCCACATACAAACACAAACACATCTGAGCATCATTTGCTTTGATTACTTCTGAGGAAACTCTTGGGTTTAGTAAAGCTTTATAATACTTTTTGTTTTATTCCTAAAATGATTCCTAAGTAATCAAGAGGCTCAAAGGAAAATGCAAACCAGGAGCACAGGGCCCTCAAGCACAGAACCGAGCCTGTCTGCCACACTGGAGAAATAAATCAGATGCAAAGAGAGAGGGGGAAAAAATGAAAAGACAGTAAAAACATTTCAAACCCCCTCCTCCCTAATTTTCCACACAGATGGAGGCTTAAATCACTTTTCAGTGCAGCGCAGCCTGCTCCAGTTTCACTAAAGCACTTCAACTGTCCCCACAAAATCCTCCCTGAGCTGAGTGCTGAGGGACTGTCTTTTTTATTAGATTCAAGTAAATCTTATTCTAACAGCATATAATTCACAGAAATCCAAATTGTGCAACTATTAACACACAGGTTTGTGTTAAGAAAAGGTCCCAAATCATTGGTTTTAAGTTCAGTTATGTTGGTTAGATTTCTCACACAAAGAAAGGGACAGACAGAGAAACACTCACTTCTGAACTGCAGCAGTGATGATGGGAAAGAGCAAACGGTGATACTAGCAAACCTACCTTTGCACCTGGAGAGCCAGGGAAGCCCGGAGCTCCAGAGGGACCGACGGGGCCCTACAGAGATTAAATGAAATGTTACTCAGATTTCCAGGTGTAGAGCTCTAGAGGTTACTATCATTCTGCAGGATGATGCGTGTGTGGATAAATGAGATTTAGAAGAAACAGGGATGGGTGTTTATAATATTTCCTACTCTCAAACCAAATGATGAATATGAAAATTAAATGACACGCAAAATGATACTCACTGGGGGGCCAGCAGGGCCGGACAAGCCATCATTTCCACGTGCTCCCTGAATACAGTAAGAAATGCATTATCAACATATGGCAGATCAACAACTGGACCAAACATTCTCCAATCAGCAACCTGTACACAAGTGTAACACTTTACACAGCGAGGTTAGATCCCCCTAAAATCCTACTGCTTGGTACATTAAAGGTAAACCCCTAAATTGCACTCTATAGCTATGCTTCACAGCTTTGTAACAGACACCAATAAAGTAAATTGAAACATCTAAACTATTTGCTGGGAATCAGGTGTCTGTGTTTTGTCCAGTGACAGCTTTTAGATGAAAAAGATGACACTTACAGCAGCTCCGCTGGGTCCAGGGCGACCTCTCTCACCTGGCAAACCACGAGGTCCCTATGTAGGCAAGAGAAAAGAAAAGAAACCTTCACAAGTAAATTTCCATTATCTCCAATAGAATTACCAATATAATTGATTTGTGTATCTTTTGTGTTGTGATGTTTGGATTATTGTAATACCCAGAAATACACACCATCGGTCCAGGAGCACCGCTCTCTCCAGGAGCACCAGCCTCACCCTAAAGAGAGGGAAGATTTTGTACAGCAAGGAAACCTCGATTAAAGGTAGTGTATGTTTCAGCTGAATGTCCGTTGTTTTTTTACTTCATCAACAACTACTATTTCTGAGCTGTATATACAAGAAGTTCCATTTCTAGGAAAATTACAAATGATCTGTCACTGAAAAATCATCTTACCACCATCGGTACAGACAGAAACCAACAATGGAGTGGTGTGTCAACATAACAAACCAGAAAACAGTTGGTAAACACAGAGAAAACACTACCTTAGCGCCAACAGCTCCAGTCTCTCCCTTTGCACCATCAAGACCTGGATAACCCTAAATGACAGCATAGAGAGACAGTGCATAGTCAGGGAACAACAAAAACAACCACCTAATCTTCCTGAAAGTCATTAATGAACAACAAACAAACTCACTCTGTGTCCCTTGATGCCAGGCAGGCCAGGTGTTCCTGGGAATCCACGAGCTCCCTGTGGTACAAGAGGAGAGATGATGAATAACATTAATAAAGGCTACAGCAGAGGGAAAGCAAAGCAACTCCTATGTGACATAATTGTTAAAGTAATTTACAGAGTTGAATCAAAATCTAGAAACAATCTACAGTATACTTGCAATGCAGTGCATCATTACTGTAAGCTATGGTGAGAGATGCTTTACTGTATAACCAATACAAAGTGAAACGTTGCATACAATTCAATTTGGTTATGTTATTCTGAAGCAACAACATTGGAATCTCTTTAAATGTATTCTCAGGCAGGTGATCAGCAAAAAGTATACAAAGTGAGACCTCCCTTAAACTAAATGTTCAGCACTTCTTAAAAAACAAGTCAGAAAGAATCAGCAGTCCAAGAAATCTCACCTGGGGTCCAGAAGGTCCACGGTCGCCTGGTTTGCCAGATTTGCCTGCCTCACCCTAAACAGAAACAAAGAGGAAAAGTTATGCAAAAATGCATTACAAGATGTTAATTTATGAATTTCATCTAAGTGCTCCTTTAAAACTGTTAACTACTGTACATTTAATGTAGTTGATTTGGGCACTCCCAGTGGACGCAATGTAACATGTCATGTCTGCTGCCATCGTGTGGTTATGTGTAGGAATTACAGTCTAGGATCCCTAATATGTTAATGTGAGTTTCAGGAAAATGTAAAAAGCAACATTGAAATATTTGGACATGTTATTTCACTTAAAGCATCAGACTGGGCTCACTGAGGATTATTCAGATTAAAAAGAGTGAATGTGAGCACACAACATAAGATGTTAAAGATCCACAGTGCACCACGAGTGATATGTCACAATAGTAATTTAGCAGGTTGCTTCTGTCTTAGTGATACAGCCTAATAAGCAACATGTAATTTAATGAATGTGGTAATATATGGCAGTTTACATGTTATTTCATAAAATTCTCATAGTAGTTGACTTGTGTTAACTCATACATTTACAAAGTACTTGAACTATGTGATTGCATTTGTGATTTAAACAGTATATAGACTGTAAAAATGCATGAGTACATTTTAATTCCTATGTTTTCTTCAGTAGCATAGCAGTAATAATACCAAACTAAAAATATCAAACAGATAGATACGGCTTTGAAAGACCAATAAGATGCTGAGGATGACATCAAGAGCTAAATGATGCAAAATGGCATAATTTAGTTGAGATTGTAAAAAATATTACACAAGCAGCTAACAGAGATCAATACAACCTATTTATAATGTAGGCACTGTGATTTATATTTAAATACTGGAACACAGTACTTCTGCGTTTTATGTAAATATGTGTCAGACGATCAGAAATATGAAATTAATAGTCAGCATAATTCACCTATGATAATCTTGACAGTGACACAGCATTTCTGTAGGTGGAGACAGAAAAGGCCACAAGAGAATTATTTTCTCTTTCCGGTGGTTTTAAGTCAAATTTATAGGATGTTAATATTTTACAGAATACACCAAGTTAGTTAGAAATGAGGATACTAAGTTTCATTATGTCAGAGGTCCTGCTTTTTAAAGATATATTTACATGTGTATAAAGTTGTGAGAGACACACTTACATCATCTCCAGGCTTTCCAGGAGATCCAGGGGGGCCACGAGGACCCATGGGACCCTATCAGTAAAAGAGACAACAAGCAAAGATAAGACACCAGTAATAACCAAGAACGGGCAACCATGTTATATTAAGAATGGAAATATGTAAATGAAGCCATGTCGTTGTTGTCATTTTTTTTTTAAGCTGATAGAAAGGAAAACAGCACAAGTGACTTTGACTCGTTCTTATTTCAAAGGCTAAAACGATCTCCCTTGAGAACTGGTGAACCAACAATGTGACCCTTCTCCAGCTGTCGAGTTATTTTCTGGCACAAATCTTGATTTTAATCACACGTAATGATGTACTGGCCTGTGTTTAAAAAAGAAGGCACATCAGAACTGCTTATCTGAACTCCACAGGAGCAGATTAACACAGTGGTGGGGAGACACTGCTTGTGTACCTGCTGAAGGAATGAGGACAGGGGAGGGCAGGGAGCCTGATTTTGGGAAAGCTACAGGAAGAGTATGTAAACAGCACAACAAGGAGAAGGACAGAAAACTAGGAGGAGGATTTATAAGAAGAACACAAAATGAAAATTAACGGAAAGGGCTAAAGGCCTTATTTCTGAGAAGAGTTACTTGAGGGGTACGGGACGATCTGAAACACCAATAAAGTCATAAGAAAATAGAAAATAGCTCTCCACAAAGTACCAGCAGATGATGTTGCTTTTCACCATAAGATGTCAGGCATCACACAAACCTTGCTACTTGGTCACTGTGAGGACTGACTGATAATGAAATATATGAGCTGGTGGGTCAAAGGGAGGATACAGACATTAGCAGTAAGCAGTTAAAGGCTAGAATGTGTTGCTGTAATGGGGTAGCTGAATATGATCAAGGGACATTCTGGGTCCTCTGCACACACTGTCCTGTACACTGAAAAAAAAGATTTGTTGGATTTATTTGACTGTAATGTGTACATCGGTCCCACACAATGATAATGTGTAAAACCAACATAATTTTTTTTAGGGGTTAACTTGTTAGAATTATGTTAACAGAGGAAATATGAATGAATTGCATTGCATATACTAGCATAATTTGTGTAAATCCAAAGACCCGGTGAGTCCTTTTTTTCAGTGTACATACTGTATAAAACATGTGATATTCCTTTTTACCTAGTTACCAGCCGAAGCAATTTAAAAGCTTTTATCATTTTGTGGACAAAGACTTTTTAAAAACTAAATACACATGAGAAAGTAGCGATTTGAAAAAGAAAAGTGGAAGAGAGGCTTACAGGACCCTGGAGGGGAGGGGAACACCTAAAGAGGTTATGAAAAGGGTATAAAGCAGGAATTTATTATAAACCATGTAGTGTGGACTGGGGTTGGAGTAGTACACTGTGGGATACTTACAGATGATCCAGGCTCTCCAGCCTCTCCTGGGCTGCCTTGGAAACCTTGTGGGCCCTAAGACGAAGAAAGAAGAGAGGGATTATGAAGGAAACTTCTTCACATGTACAGAGGCTGAGAGGGAACTAAATGAAAACACAATGGCTGTGGATTTTAGATCTCACTGCTACAACAGTTAATTAACTGACTAATCGAGTAGAAAATTAATTACTAGTTACGTCGCTGATAATCAAATAATTGTTTGGGTAAATTGTAAGCAAAAATTTCCTGATTCTGTTTTTCAATCCTGAATGTTTCCCCCTCTTGTCTTTAGCTAATATCAAATTACCTGCTGAAGTGACAAATCCAGTTTCCCCTTCAACTTTCTCAGATCTGAGCTTTTCAGAGGTGTGTGAACGAACCAATCCAGATTTTTTCAAATCAGATCTGGGCCACTTCCATATGTGGTCCCACATCTAATACTAATATTAATATCTGATATTTGACCCGAGTGTGTCAGAACTGTCAGATTTGAAATCATTTTCTTTTTCAATGCATGTTGTCATGATTCAGTGTTGGCCCCTCACATGCCAGCAAAAGTAAACATAGATGAGAGCAACATCAGCGACAGGGGTCAGTGGAGAGACGAGGACATGATCAAGACAAAATAGAAAAAAATATTGTAACCAAGCAGTTTTTGTGCAATTTGTCTGTCGCATAAATGACGTTATAAAAATGTTTTGCCGCATGTGCCAGGTGAGCAACAGTGGGGAGAATGGGCGTTATTTTGCAATCCACTATCCTGGTCTAATAATACATCCATGAATTCGATCAACACAAAATGATCAAGCCTGTGATGTGCCTCATTCAAAGCAAGTAATTAGAATATTAATATATATAATGTATAGACAATTTACTGACAAAACAACCAGTTATTTAAGAAAACCAATTGTCAGAGTTGATGATGAAAATGATCATAAACTGCAGCAATAAATCTGATATTATAGATTTGTTATATCTTTAATTTGTTTGCCTGCAACTAATGATTATTTTTGTTATTGATAAATGTTGCAATTATATTTCAGTTAATATCTGTCTATCTATCTATCAGTGTGTGTCTGTCTGTCTGTCTGTCTGTCTATCTATCTATCTATCTATCTGTCTATCTATTTATCTATCTGTGTGTGTGTGTCTGTCTGTCTATCTATCTATCTAGCTATCTGTGTGTGCGCACTGTATTCAGTTTATTATGATATAGGACAAAGAAAAGGAACAAGCCCCCAAACTGGGAAACCTAAAACTTAGAAACCCTAGAAAGTAGCTCTGATTCTTTTTCTGGACATTAATCAAGTCATTTACATTTTTAGGCAATGTCACAACTAATTTAATTATATGTCTTAATTTATTGTTAGGAGTAAAATGTTTGTTGAACTGCAGTATAAAGCACACATACACTGAGCAAAATCAAATACACACATCTCTGCAGAACTAGTAAAACTTACAAAACTTCTTATTAATTATCTCTCAGCGTCTGCTTGTCTACATTAGGAACTATAGCTATTCAAGATTACACAACATTTCTAAATATGTTAAGTAATCTGCATGAGTCCTATATAAAGGCAGTCAAATGTGTCCAAGAAGAAAATACAGTACATCTTTCAAAATGTGGGCTCAAGGTGATTAAACTGTCAAGTTCAGGCAAGTCAGGTGGCATTGCATCCAACTTAATAGCTTTAGTCTGAAGGCTAGGAGGCTTGAGATGGCTGCATGTAGAGCCTGGTTGCCAACAAAAACAGAAAAAGCAGGCAGTGGAGGGGTAAGCCTAGTAGGCCCTGTTAGAGGTAAATTGTCAGGTGTTCTACAGTATATGTCTGAGCTGTGGCACTGGAAAAAGCCCTGGAGCCTGCAGCAGAGAGATGGGTGTTCTCCGTGTGCCACCTTCCTCGGGAAAACAGCAGACACCCACAGTTGCAAGGCCGTGTGTAAATGTTTACCTCAGTGAGACTGTGGGATGCTCTCCACTGGTCATACTGGGGTCATTATTGTTATTAAATACACTCATGGGAAGTAGACAATGTGGCACACCGTAAGTACATCAAGCACATAACAATTATAAGATTTAGTCTCGAGTATCCTGTCTGTGATGAACACAGGATCTTGTCTACAGGTGCACCAGACTTGTGTGTTGTGTGGGGGATACAGGAGGTACTTACAGGTGATCCAGTGGGGCCAGGTGGTCCTCTGGGTCCCATAGGGCCCTAAGGGAAAGAAAAGACACAAGAGAGACAACATCAGGGAAAGGACACACAATCACAAATACACACAACCTAGACTACACAAACACATAAAACAGACTAGTGCATTCTTCTTCTTCTTATTATTATTATTATTTTGCTTTAAGGTGTGTAGGAAAAAAACTACAATTCTGACCACTTGAATTCTGACACGAGCTATAAGAACCATATTGGCTTCTGTGCCCTAAAGCTCTACTCGTCAAATCCATAAATCATCTGAAATTCCTCAGTGGCATTTAGACTTTCTCCTGCTCTCTTTCCATATTTTTTCAAATCCCCTTCTTCTTCCCTCATCTCTTTTACAGACCCACCTTATGTTTCTATAGTTCGAGGGTCATCAGCAGTAGTGCTGTGCTCCTAAGGGAGGCGCTTAACTTTATGTGACTTTACATTTTGGCATGGAAAGAAAAACAACATAATACTGAACTCTCTGGTTTTAGAGAAATACTTCATACAAGAAATGTTTAACCTCTGGCATCACAACAGGACGATATGAGATTTTTTGAACAAAACTTTTTCTGGCTGAACTTTAATCTCCTCTTAGAGAACTTCTGCCTGGATTCACACAACAGACTCATTTCTGCTTCAGCTTCATGCACCAGTGGTCAACAAGAGAAAATCACAGTGTGTGGAGGTGATGAGCCAAACCCCCATTGCTTTTATGTGAATACACATACACAAAGAATATCAGCTGCACAAGTGACAGTTGGTGTCCGTAAAGTTTCTGAGGTCCTAAGTAACAAAAAAAACACCTTGATTCTGATTAACGTGACAGCTGTTCACTTTGATAATAAACACATTGCTTGTAGCCATCATGCTTAAAAATATAAGGAATGGCAGCCAAACAAGGTGTAAATGCATGACACAGCGGCCCTCAGAAGGGAATGAAAGTCATCTTTCAGTGGCTGTGGGAAGCCTTCACCGCAGCGGGTCGAAACTTATCAATGGGGCTCTATATCTTCAGGGCTTTTGAATGTTTGTCATATGTATCCTGTACTTATGTGTGTGCGCATACATTTCAGTAAGGGCGTTGTTTGAGGGTTTGGTATGATGGTGTAAGGATATGAGTTGGGGTCCTGTGTGTGTGTATGAGTAGGTTATGAGCTTGATTTGTGATTTAACATCAGTCCAGTCTGTTCTTTCGCTGCTCTCTCCTCCAGCAGACTCAAACGCCAACGTAAACATAGACTGGTGTTTAAAGGGCCCAGTGTGTGTGAGCTCTCAGACAGACACATGGAAGGGCAGTCAGTGAGAGTGAAGCAACACACACTGCTGCTAACTTAGGGGAACTGATCAAGTCCAGCCGGCCCCCTCATGCTGCCTCAGCCCGCTTCTGAGCTGAGACGCTGCCAAGCTGCTTTACAACTCTCTAAATCACAATAGCTCCCACTGTGTTCCTCTTTTCATCTCAGGCAAGCTGCCATGCCAGCTAACCTACATCAGAAGTGGGTTTTCACGGGCCTGGAGTGTAACGGCCATCTGTGGCTGTTTCCTCTGTATATAAATGCACCCCTGTGTACTCCAGGTGAGGTGTTTATTTTCCATCAGGACACAGAACTTTGTAGTTTCTTTTCTCCAACACCTGGGAAAGTGCTCATTTTATTTGGGTTTCTCCAAAAGCCATTAACAAAACTGGGAAAAAACATAGGTGATGCTATAGTAGTTTGTATAGTTTCCTCTCATCCTTGATGATTTTGATTCTTCATGGGTATCTCCTCTCCTGGTAAAAAAACAATGGTGATGATGCATCTTTCTCATAGTTTACATATTTGATAACCATGTGCTTCTGCTCTGGTTCATCTAAGGAAGTTGCTTGTGCTCTTCCACAAAGGCGAGCAGGAAGAATCAGCCACAAAAAATGCCACAGGAACCCCTTCATGTCGACACCTCAGCAGACCAGATGGTTGCCAGTGCAGGTCTTCAAGTGGAAAGAGGGTGTCTAAGCCCTCGGCTTTGCACCTGATCCCTGTAGCATCCTGGTGAGTAGCTGACTGTAATAAAGGATCATTAAAGGTGGCAGCAGCTCTCATCCTCACTCTCTCACCATTGGTCCTTGCATAACACCCATCTGTGCGCCGCCGGCCTTCTCGTCAAAGCCACTGGTCATCTGAGCAGCAAAGTTCTGAAAAAGGCAAAAGACAAATATTTTTATTTTGATATGCAAAGGCTGTTTTATTTATATTTGAAATCTTCTGGTAAAATGAAGCTTTAATTTTATCTGCTGAGTGGGAAAAGAAAAAATGTCACAGTGATTTCAGGGTGAAGCCTTTTGGATGGAATAGACTGCACAGCAGGATGAAAGGCCAAGAAAATGAACGTAGTTTAAGCTTTAGCTGTTCTAGTGTCCATGAAAAATGTAAGTATTTATCTTGGAAGCCAAACATGTTGTGACTGATTTGTAGAGACTAGAGGTTGCTGTGCCATTTTGACAGGAGACAGGATCAGCTTTTAATGGTTTGTTGGCAGCAGAGCTTGATGTGAATCCTGTTGCAGACAGAGGAGAGACACAGGGCATGTGAACTGTTTTCATCTCTGTCTCCTTCACAAAGACTTCTTGTTGTTCCCCACAAGAAAAGCTTCTTTCCTTCCCCTCCCCAAGTCTATCATACTACCTCATGCCCTTCCTTCTCCCCTCCCCTCAGTCCACCTCCTCCTTTCTTTTCTGCTGCAAAGAATGAGGCATTTGATCTATTCTCCATCTTTGCATCCACTCACTGTTGTCTTTCTGCCTCCTCCCATCGCCTGCAATTTCCCACATCTTTTGTGCTCCTGAATTCTTGCCTGCTCCATTTTACCATTCTCTCTGCTTATGGCACCCTGTCAAAGCGAACCCATTCTTGGCCTTGCATCAGTGTTCGACCTGTCAGCTCCACCACCCCTACTTCTCATGGGATACTTACCCCACCAAGGCCAGGGGGTCCATTAGGTCCTGGAGGACCAGGGGGCCCAGGGTTTCCAGGGGTTCCAGGCTCACCATCTCTGCCACGTGGACCTGGGTTTCCCTGAAATAGACAATTAAAATTAAAATGTGTGATCTATGAATAGGACAAGACCATAACCTAGTGACTTATATAGTAGCAATCTGAAGCAACTGCTGCAACTAAAGACTGTTTTCATTATTGATTAATCTTTAGATGATTTTCTCCATTAGTTTATTAATCATTTAGTCCATAAATTATGAGAAAATAAGGAACATTTCTCAAAGTTTAAGTTGATATATCTATATGTTCAGTTTAAATGTCATAACACAACAATTATTCACATGAGAAGCTCAAACTACAAAATCTGATCATAAAAAATTACTTATCAAAATAGTTGGTTATTACTTTGTCTATAATTTTTTTTTATCTACAGTGTGTTGAGTAAATGTTTCTGAATGTAAATTATTTACTCTTGAATATTATTTTCCTATTTAGTTTTAACATTATTAATCAATATTATTATTATACATTATTTTAGCTATAAACACATCACTACATATATCACAGACCTTCTAAGCCTATATGATTGCAGAAAAGTGTTAATAATTATCGTTACAATTCAGCATCGACTTTCTATTTAGTTTTATTATTATTAATCAATATTATTATTATACATTATTTTAGCTATAAACACATCACTACATATATCACAGACCTTCTAAGCCTATATGATTGCAGAAAAGTGTTAATAATTATCGTTACAATTCAGCATCGACTCTCTTTAGGCCTGTGTGCCAATATTTAACCTCAGTAGCACTTTGTATAAATCATTACACATTTGCTGGCAGATGATACTGCACTGGATTACATTTGTCATACTGTTGACAGAAGCCTGATGCTCAGTTGAATCTTCTCCAAACTGCACTGATCATCTACATGAGGGAACTCGACCACACTCGACCGGCTATTAAACTAATTTGTCTTTGTGAAACAAACCAAACCATACAATTAAAGGTAATAAAGCTCAAAAATGAAGTGTAACTTTTATACAAATCCCAATTTTACAAGTCTTTCCTTAGAGGTTGTTGTGCATGCTGATGATGTATCAGACCAAAGCAGGCTTCCTCGCATACCTCTGAGCATGCAGTAACAAATTACCCTGGAAGGGGATCCTCAGCAAAGAATGTACTTAACACCTAAAAGTCTGTTTAACCTCTGTTAGCCAAAACTCATTCCAGTTTGTGCTTAAATCTGCATAAACAAGATAACTATATGACCTTAAGTCCTCGCCCACAGCCATGATCACATACAAGTGTTGTTATATCAATGCTATGATCAAAGCCTGGCGAATGCAGTAACACTAATTTCCCACACTGACTAACTGTGAGACCTCAGAGAGCAGCATAAGTTTACACTCTGAGACTCCGACAGTTCCACATCTGTTAAACAACCCAGACCACACAGCCTAATGGAAACGACACATAACTAGTCAGTCTGAGCTACTGCATGAAAGGCTACCATTCTGCAAGTCCTGCAAGCTATAGCAGGTACCTCGCCTCATCCTCCAAAGACCTAAAGCTATTAGATTCAATAGCTATTCAATTCAACATACTGTACTTCTTAAAGGAGCAGAGTGTCTGGGTCTGGTTTTTAAAGGATCAAAGTCACACTTAAAAAAAGTTTTTCTTTTTTTTATGCATCCAACTGACCTTCTCTCCTTTTTCTCCTCTTGGTCCACGGGGGCCTTGCTCTCCTGGCGGCCCCTGGTGAATGGGAGACAGTGAAGTAGTCAAGAACTTCAGGTGTTATCTCAGGAAACAGCTGTAGCTTGTGAACTCTGCTACGGTTATACCAGTGTCCATTTCCTGTTGCTACAACTGGCAATTTAATTTAACACCTATACCTAAATGCAATCTCTTTCTATTTTGCATGAACACAGATATTAGGGAGAGAGGTTTTCTAAGAAATGCAGAAATAGGCGCATACCGTTGGGCCAGATGGTCCTCTTGGTCCTACAACCTGCACACGTAAAGGATAGAAAATAGAGAAATTACAGATATTTGCATTATTATGTCTGTTATCTTTTATAAAATGTTATCTTTAATCTTTTAAGTTGTGTTAATGTTGCATATGAAGGCATGTTGGAATGTACAAACTGAATAGCCATGAATAAAGCTTATGTATTGTGTGCAAATACATTTAAAGCAAATGTATTTGCACACGTGAGGCTGTGATATCTTTGTGCACATGGGGGGAAACTATATCTGTCTCCCATCAGTGCAGACTTGTGAATAGCTAATCTCTTTGGGCAAAGCATTATAACAAACAAACAATAAACAAAGGCTTCTGATTTCCTGCCATGAGCTTGTGTTTCCACAGAGGGATAAAGCATTTCCAGCTGTAGCACTGTAGCAGCAGCAGGGAGGTTCATCTCTCTCTCTCTCTCTCTCTCTCTCTCTCTGCCTATGAAGATCTTTATGGAGGACTGTAAAGAGTCCTTATTGAACTTGGATTTCTTCCTGATGAATGGACTAACAAACCCGTCTCCTCTCTCATACTCATTTCTCTCTTTTAGTTATTAGGTTACTGAAAACTACTCTTACCCACATCAACAGCCAGGGATATGCTACCAACAGAAGTTGAATCTAATCAAGTACATTTACTTATACTTTACTTGACTATTTCTACTTCATGCTACTTCAACTCTACTAACATCTTCAATTCATTTATTGGATGGCTGACATTACTAGTTGCTTTGAATATGAAACCTATGCAGATTTTTACTGAAGTGACACAATAGGACTTTTCCTTGAAATATTTTTTTTTGTGCACTATTTCTGCCTTTTACTTTAGTAAATAAAACTAAATACTTCCTCTGGCTACAATTAATGTGAGGTTGAAAGAGATCTCTATCACTTGGAACTTTAAACCAGTTTAAAAATGAAAAGAACTTTTAACTTGTCAACTTACATCAGTAATGTCTCCAGGTTCACCTTTCTGACCCTGGTGTTGAAAGGATAAAGTATAAAAAGAGCAATTAGGATTAGGCAGACACAAAGATTTTCATGCATTTTTCTCCCTCACATCTCTGTTTTCTCATTCACAGTTTGATACTCTGCTTTTAAAAGTCCATCTTTAGAAGCCCTATCAGTGTAAAAGTTGTAATTTTATCAGGTAAACTTAGCAAAGTTCAACTAAGCATCGCCTACAGTGTCATTGCACACACAGATATGGGCAACTGTGTGGGAGGAAATAACTGCTAGCCATATGACAAAGCTCTTTCACATCAAAGTCTCATCTAAATCCATAACTACAGGGCTCTCTCTGCTGTTCAAGTGCAGGTGCTTGGGAGATTCATTTTACAGACACAGACACACACACAAGATCATATAAAAAGGCAAATCCACATACACAAACACAGCATGTCTTATCCCATATCCTACAGACGTCTCACCTTAGCTCCAGGTGTTCCTGTTATGTGGCCGAGAGGGGAAGAGGGGAAAAACAGATAAATGTTAGCGAATGCCTTACAAAGAAACAATCTCTGAGGGTTTCACCATAATGTATTGTCCAGAAGTCCTGAAAGTCTATGCATGTTGATAGCCGAATATATTTTCTAAATGAAACTGCTCCAAATACCACCGCCAAATCACAGTTGAAGTACCCAAAGAGCCCTGAAGGATTGAAGAAAGTGTTAAATCACCATCTTAAGCGCTAAAAGCTGAAGCAAAGAGGCTGCAGGTAAAAGAGAGCACTATTAAGCAAAAGAAATAAATAGCTGAGTAAAACATACATTTACACTGTAATGATAAATCTGATGTATTGTAGACCACAACTGAATTTTTACATTTTAATAATCATTGTTAGCTAGCAATACAAGATGCTGTAAGAATTTTGAATCCATTAAACTATCTAAAATCTCCAAAAATGTATGTTTAAAATCAGGAACTATCTAATTTAAAGAAAAGGAAAGACGTCTACAAATTTGACATGACATTCATTGCTAACTCTTGGTACAATGTTCAATAATGTGTGGTCAGGAAACAGTTTAGTCATTATCAAGAGAGCCCTATCTTTCCTCTTGATAATTTCAAATGATGCTTTACATTCTACTATACATAATTCTTAGTGAGCACTGAACTTTGCCTTGAATGGAAGGTGAGTATTTTATGAAGCATTGAGTCAATAAGCATGCATTGCAAACAGTGACACTTCTGATTTCATTCATGCTCCTCAACCACTTTTTTTTTCATGTCATAAACTAACCAACCAGTTCCTTCTTTATCAGGAAACAATGGCAGTTTTGAGTGTGGCGAATAGCACCTCTAGAAAGCTCATTGTTTTTTCTTGCCATCAGAATCTGCAGAAATGCACAGAGAGCCTATAGAGCAGCAATGTGAGGTCAGGTGTCTTTGACTGAGGTATTTCTTTAATGACTCCCACATGTTTTCAAGATGCTCGGGGAAGGAAAGAGTATTCAAACAAGATGAGGCCAAGGTGAGCCAGCTATGGAAAAATGATGTTGAGGTAGCATTTCACTGAAATCTGGTCAGATGCGTTACTGTTGTTGTTGTAGTCTGATCATTTGTTTGTTTTGGGGATAGAAAACCAAAATCAAATCAAAGGATGACATGTTGTATAGACATGATGTATCAATGTGAAAGAGGTTAAGCTACAACTGGCAAACCTTTGACTGATGCCAAATTGTCCATGCATCATTTCCTCCCCAAAATAAACAACATGATGTCGAACAGTAATTTATTTATGAGAGGTTTAAGATAAATAAATTACAACCAATGGGCGGAGACGTGTCAGCTGCGCAGATGGGGCAACACTCTCCGAATGGGATTTCAGGTTTGGGGCAGTCTTTAAGCTCCTCGCAGACAATTTCATCACACAGGATGGTTCCAGTGTCACACACACAGATGCGACAAGGCTCTGGTTTCCATACGTCCTTGTCACTATATCGCTGTCCATCTTGTGAACAGCTAAGCACATCCGATTCTGTGTGCGACAGAGGCCCGGGTAGGTAAGATGGTGGGAGGAAAAAGCAGATTAGGCATGAGGTACAAATAGCAGTCACTTCAATGTCTATCTCATGTAGTATCTACTGTAAGTCCTAACTTGCTTTTGATATGAAGTAAACCAGATAATGTTTTGGTCCGGTGGGAAACACATATGTAATGCAGTAACAGGTATTGTAAAGTGTTAATACAAAAACCTGCTGGAAAGAAGAAAATTAAATGCTAAATTAACTCAAGAATTTTCACCACACTCACAAACCGTGTTCTTCACTCACTGAGGATGTAATTTGATATTTCATTGATCTTTGTGTAATCCATGGTGTCGGCTACAGCTACACCGATGTTACTGAAGCTCCAAGGTTATGCTCCATGATCCTTGAACAGGGTAAATACAACTGTATCTGTCCAGACTTGAACTCTAGTCCTCTTCCTCTTTACAGCTGATGAGCTACCTACTCATGATCAATTTTATCAATAGATTTCTCCTTTCTCAACACAGTTTCTACAAATAAAAGTTTTGTGTCAAGAATGGTGATCTAGGGTCTGAGATGTGTCCATGTAAACTGTGACTTCCCAGCCTGCCTTTTATCTTCATTTCCCCACCTACATTTTTGTATCTGCTGCTCATCTGTACACTATCAAATAAAGGATAAAATGTCTCAGAAACAAAACAAAACAAAACCAAACAAAAAAAAACAACCTTGTGCCATCATGCAATGTATAAATAACCAGCACAAAGTCTAGTTATTGATTGGATGCAACCTTTCACATAGCCTCAAGGGGGCACTGTAGCCCCACAGAATCGAGCGCCACAGTGAGGCCGAGTAATACCTGCAGGAAACCTCAAATAACTTCTCACGAGCTGGAGACCAGGTGCCCGAATTCCACAACAAATTAAATATAGGGCTAGTTTGCATTGCATGAGAACACCCTAATTTACTGCAAAGGAAACAGACTTTGCATTCAGTAAGTGAAAAATATTTGATTCTTTTTCAGACTACAACTTGTAAAAGAGAGCCCAGTGGAATGTAATGAAGGTTTCAATACAGGTACTGTACACAGTCTACATTGCACTAGTCAAGAAAATATAACAATGGGTACAAGTAATTAGCAATATTCAAATTCATTTTCCAGTTTGGCAGTTTGCTCAGTCATCAACAGAAGCACTGATAGGAGCCACTGAACCTGCACTGAGGGGGGAATGTATTTGACGGGCCAAAAGAAAGCCACAGAGTACAGAGAGCTGAGCAGGGGAGAGGCAATGAAGCACATACAGTAGGTATATTTACCTTTGATGATTAAGTCTAGGCAACCCAATGGACCCCGGTGGCAATGAATGAGGTATTTCTGGAAGGGGACTGGGTGTCTTACAAACTATTACTTAGTATAAACATGCGGCACATTTTAAAATGGAAGCCAGAGCTGTCTCAGAAGCCAGTTCAAACATGTCAGAGAAAAGAAAATGGTCAGCTTTCATGCACACACCTTTCAGTTTTGACATTTAATTTTACAGGGCTGGATGCACTGTAAAAGATCCATGTCTGTTTTTTCACCGACTCAGATATGAAAGGGTCTTCTGATGTGGGACATTCTGGGACAAAGGCTCCTCTCTCTCCTGGAGACCTGATAGAAAGCTGCCTTTTCATCACTTGAGATAATTAGTGTCTCCTCTCCCATGTGTTGGCAGTCATACTGTTTTCGAGGGTAGTAAAATGAACAATGGAAGGTGTAAAGTAAACCCAAGCAGGAAAGTAGATTCAACTCTTTTTTTACTCATTTCATTTAGTAACTTTTAGTCCTTGAGCCAAGTTTAACCCCTGTATAATTAGCTTTCTGGCCTCCTCACCTATATGAACAGTCAGTCAGTGGCTGCAAAATGTAGAGCTAATGAACTGACACCCCCAGACCCCTCGGAGGCACTGTGCACCATTGTGTCACCCAGAAAAAATTCTGCCTGCAGTTAACTGAGGAAAAAAAAAGGATATGCATAATATCAAGAGGGTCTATGTCTCTGAAAGAGTAACTTGAGACCTTCAGCCGCTTGCACATTCGCCCCCTTTTTTCTTGCTCTTCCTGAAAAACATTTTCTTTGCTTTAAAACCTTGCCAAGGCCACACATCTGATGACTGCAATAATAAAGTCTTGCCTTATATTTTTTTCAGTCACCTCTCTCTTGCAACCTGACTCTCTAATCTTTTACACAGATGGAAACCCTGAAATTATATGGAACATTATTTCTGGCCCCAAATTTGCTGGCATACCCTCACTCTCAAATGTCACTTAGTGGATACTAAAATTAGTAATGATGTTAAATAATCCCACTCCAATTTCACTTAAAAAGTGCAGAGACAATGAAAAGTCTATAGGGTATATGTGATTAATACAAAGGCATTTGATTCTTATTGGAATGACTATCAAAATTAATGGTGTAAATTCTCTTTTTGATGAACATTTTGTTTAGTAGTCCACCTCTCTGCCTCAGTAAGACAGGATTTGCCTGGGTGCCCTTTGACAGCAATGGAATGTGAGCACTTTTCACCAAAGACCCTTGAGCCTGACCACCTTTCACTTTTTGTCCATCCCCTCCCCCTCTTACCCTCTATATTAAGTGAATCTGCAGCTAAAAGGAGAGACTGTCAAGGATCCTAAAGAACCCCACAGGTGTCTCCGGGCTCAACTCAGAAAAGTAGGGAGAAGGCACTGAACTTCACTGTAGGGGATCAAAATCTGAATCCTATGATGTTTGTTTCCCATACTATAGCCTGGAACGTACATTTTAAGAATTTAAGAATAAATAAAATTACCTGAATAAAAATAACAATCAAGAAAACAAACAAATCCAGCGTTGTGAGAGTTATTTCGGCAAATGTCCCATTTCTTTCCATCGATTCCATCACTTTTACGCACGTCCACAACTTTGATATATTGAGTTTCACCACACCTTGCAGCTACAGTAAGGTCAGTTCTTCTGACAGACGAGGTCCACTACTATCATCGACTAAATAACTTTACCTGCAGCAGAGTATCCAACCAATCGTGAATTCTCTGTGCGTAAAAGTTGCGAGGGAATAAATCACTCCAGTCACCAAAACAACCTCAAAACTATTCAAATTTCATGTACTGTGCTTAAAGATAAATATATATCAGAGTGATGTGTGACATAGCAAAAACTTTCGCTCTTCACATTCATTCATGGCAACTTTAGCTTTTCTTCGGTAATGTTTCTGGTAAAAATAAAACTCTCACTTACGTTCGATCTTCTCCTGACATCTTACAACGGATAATAGACAGACTTGAGTTGCTACAAGTAGCAGTAGAGTCCTGGAATCCATAAAGCTGAACATGTCTAAATATTAGACATGTAGGGCCCTTGAGGGAGAAAAGGGGTGCGAAAGGAGCGGAGGCTTCTCTCAGTATTTAGTGTGTGTGTCCCTAGTTACAAAAGCCAAACCATTCGACATTCACCCTTCCCAAAACCCGACAGCTGAATCCACCGGCAGGACCTGGACCTGCAGAAACTCAGCACCGACCGCTTCAGGCCAGACGCTGGAGTTTTATGTCCCAATTGCCTTCAATGAATCTTCGTATATTCCCAGATAGCAGTCCGGCCCCTTGCCCCCTATCAGGCTGAAATCTGAGCCCCATTTCCCTCCCATTCTATCTGGCATTATTCCAGTCCCAGACCACTCCTTACTCCACGTGCTGCACGGACCCCCCCACCCCAAATAAAACTTTTTTCCTCTTAACTTTGGCGCCCTTTCTCTCACCTGATTCGTTCATGAAACCTTTGTGATATCAGGGTCATTTTGTTACACTAACTGTGTGCGTTTTTTTTCAGGGTGCAGTCTAATTGGTCTAATTCCATCTCCAGGTTTTATGTAGATATAATGAATTACACTTTAATGTTTATGGGGATACTACACGTTAATGCGCAGAAGATGTTTTATCAGTTTGCGGAACTACAATAAACTAAAATACAGTGCGTGCCACACCCAAAGTCATATTTGTGATATGGTTTTTAATTTACAGTTAAACAAGCAGAAGACAAATAAAGCCTAGCATCACAGGCACTTAAAGTCCCCATAATATTTAAGTGTTAATGTAAAGTAAGAACGATTCAAATAGCAAGAAAAAATTAAGATTCATTCATAATAAAATGTTGTTAGTTGCAGCCTCAGTTTGTTTGAGTGTAAATGCATAAAATAAGAATGATTTGTGTTTTATTTTTAGTCTGCATTTGCAGCACTAGCTTAGATATGATTTTTCTCCCCTGGGAGCAGCTGCAGGTTATGGCAAATGGAATTATAACTTCGCTACACAGTGTCAGTTTTCTCTCTGTATCAGTTTGGTTACAGAGCTGTGGAGTGATCAAAATCAGAATCACAATCAGCTTTATTGGCCAGGTGTGGGACACATGAGGAATTTGACTCTGGTACATTGGCTCTCAATGTGTACGTACATGTCCCCATGCAAGGGGCAAGTAAACAGTAAACCAGCATAAGGCTGTGTAATATAACAAAATCAGCAGTATTAACAAGCAACAAACAGTCCAAACAATGCAAAATAAGCAGTATAAACAGGCAGTAAACAATGCAAACAGACAAGTAATGCTCAAGGTGAGATGGGATAAGTAGGAATAAAAATAGAGTACTTAAAATAGAGACCTGTACGAATCTGTATAATTTGTATGAGGTATATTTAAAGGTACTGCACTGAGGATTATTGTCCAGTCTTACTGTCGTTGGTTAAGTGTTAATCAGGGTGACAGCCTGGGGGAAGAAACTGTGATGTTGCTGGTATTCCTTATTTCTGTTCACGTGTTTCTGTGGCAATCTGGTTCGCTTATGGCTGTGGTGACTGACTGGATATGGCTTCTAAAATGAAACTGTCTGCTGCCAGCTCACTGGCACTCATTGATTTTCAGATGAACAGATGCACCTGCTCTTAGTAGCTGCTACTCTGTAATTTCTGTCTCTGGTTGATAATATGACAAAAGAAGTAGATTTTAAAAACTGGGTTAAAGAAGAAGAGAAAGAGAGACATTCACTTGACTGTTGTCTGCCTTTAGTTTGCTTACCCCCTCATAATATAACCTAGCCACAAAAGTCAAGTAGTAAAAAAGTTATATATAAATTGTTATTGTTTGGTACATTTATTAATCCAGTTTACACACTCTTTGGAAGCACCAGTGTTTCTTGTTACTGTGGTGCATGTGAATCTGGTGAAGCAACAATAAATGTTCTATACTCACTACAAAACATGATGCACCTAGAGAATGATTAATACGTAGTGGTCAGAACTGTCACAGTTTCAATGGCCATAAGCTCTGTCTTGAATGTATTAGTTAATCCAAAATTAAAGTTAATCCAAAATGCTGCAGCCAGAGTACTGACAGGAACTAGCAAGAGAGATCATATCTCTCCCATATTAGCTTCTCTCCACTGGCTCCCTGTAAAATTCAGAATAGAATTTAAAATCCTTCTCCTAACATACAAAGCTCTTAATGACAAGGCTCCATCGTATCTTAAAGACCTCATAGAGCCTTATCATCCTAACAGAGCACTTCGCTCTCAGAGTGCAGGTTTACTTGTGGTTCCTAGAGTCCACAGAAGCAGAATGGGAGGCAGAGCCTTTAGCTATCAAGCTCCTCTCAGTCACCAGCCACATCAACCTGACCAGTGTTTGTTTGTTTGTTGTCGAGGCAGAAGGCTGCCCACCAAGAGCCGGGGTCTGTCGGAGGTTTCTTCCGTTAAAGGGAGTTTTTCCTCCCCACTGTCACCAAGTGCTTGCTCAAGGGGGATCTGTTGGGTTTTCCCTATGTAATAATATTGATAACAGTAAGATCTAGACCTTACTTTGTAAAGTGTCCTGAGATGACTTTTGTTGTGATTTGGTGCTATACAAATAAAATTGGATTTGATTTGATGATGTTATAATTTAGGGCTGTAATTTTAGGTACTTCACGGACTGTCCAGTGTCAATACTCTAACCACAACCACAGCATTGATGCCCCAAACTGAGAGGCATATTGATGAAAGTAATTCAAGCAATCAGAACTTTACTTCTGTTAAAGTGCACAAGTATTATAAGCAAATATACTTAAAGTACCAAAAATGTAAGTATTTTTTCTGCTCATAATGACCATGAGTGATAAATTATTATACAGTATTTTTTAATATTGATTGATTTATATGGATGATTATTGGAACTGGAAATTGGGATTGGATTGTTACTCTGCTTTTGTTGTTGTTGTTGTTATTTAATAGCTCTCTCACCTGAATTAGGTTCTAGCTAGACACAGCTTTTTTGTGGTCACAAGCTAAACAAGTTTCACTAGTTTACACTATGCATTATATTTAATAAGCTCATCATAGGTTTTTATATGTAAAATCACAATCTGCAAAGTAACAATTATCTGATGTTTCCCTCTAAAATGTAGACTAGGAGTATGAAGCATTAGGAAGTTTGACTTCAGCAACCTTTTTTATGTTCACTTTACAGTAATGTGATCTCCAAGACCAATGACAACCAAGCCAAACACCTTGAGCTTTTCATCACACCACCGGACAGAACCTACAGTTTCTGCTAAAATGACACACTTGTCCCCTGTCTAATCCTGTGACATGCAGCTAAAGTTGTAAATCACAGCAGCTAACTGAGTGTTCACGGACATGCCATGAAGAGTTTACACTCTTTGGCTACAACTCTAGCTATATATAAATGAAAAGGGTGGGTTTGGCTGAATTTATGCAGGGTCCTGGCCTTTCTCCAGGCTGTGACCTGTGAGCTTTCACCTTTGACCCCCTCACACTTTATTGGAAGCAGGAGCAGCTGGTGCATCCTGAGCGTGCAGCACTGGTGCTATTCTCTACCATCTGGCTGTCTGTGGGTTTTCGGTGGGTCAGAGAATCATACTGCAGGTTCATTTGTTTTTGAGGGTCATTTAGTGAGTCCAGATTCATAACTGATCACCAATCAGTGGAACATCTTGTAACATGTTAATCTCTAAAACCCTGTTAGGAGACCCCTGCACGTTTCAACATAACAACAAAAGAAGTGGAATAAACTTTGGCCAAAACACTTTGGCCTAAAAACCCCTAGATCACCTACATGGGCCAAATATGATCAACATAGATGTGGAGTCATTTTGAATTTTGGTCTTTTTAAAAAAAAATCTACTTATTAACCACATAAACGTGTTTCTGTTACATGACTGTCACTCAGTTCTTTGTTTTTCTTTGTAATCCCTACTTCACAATCTTACATGAACATTGAACAACCTGTAATTTTGCATAGTTTCAGACACTTCTTGTGGTTGGTATTACACAAGACGTTTATATCTGACTATGTATAGTCAAATTCCTAGAAAGTTATAATTGTTTTCCTTTTGTGAGCTTGTGGCTTTCCCATAAACCATTCACAACCCATGGATAAAAGACACTGGATCACTGAACTACAAATTATCCATTTACAGGCTGGCAACCTAAAATGAACTGTAGCTTGTTATTTTCTTATTGCTGGTGGTAACTGGCAGTCTGGCTACATTGGCCAGTGCTTTGTGGACTGAAAATATGTCAGCAGTTGTGAAACCACTAACATACTACTTCTTGACAAGAGTGCATATGCTGCATCATGGCCTCAGTGCATGTGTATGTGTATACAGTCTCTTTCAATAAAACACCATGTCCTTGTAGAAAACCGTTTGAAGATGACTCCCATGGAAATGATATTTCCTTATTCTCATTCTATTGTCCATGAGTGTGCATGTGTGTTTTAAGTGTTAAGGATCGATGTCAATGAGCCCAGGCAAAATATTGCTTTGTTTCAGATGTGCAAACCTCAATTATGCCTAGAAAAGACATGGGCTTCTTCAAAGCTAATTTGTGCCGATTGAGAAATGTGTCCCCTTCCAAAGGGGTGATGGGTTAAGACTGAAAGAGTTCCCAGTGCTGCAGAAAGGATAAGAAGTTAAACACTGGTGCTTGAAGTATCAAATGTGTGTTAGGAGAGCACCCAAGCCTCAGATATTAAGAATCATTCCTCACACTAACTTCTCTAATATGTTGTAAAGATTATGATTTTAGGCAAAGACACACCACAAAAATTTAGAATATTTTCTTTTAATAGACATCATCCAATAGCTATCTATTGCTAGCTTATAAAATATTATTTCTGTGAATTTATCATGTGGAAACAAATTACAGCTGTGCCTCTTTCACTCTGATGACCTGAACTTTAAAGAGGAATAATGATGGGAAGAGTGGTCGAATATACAGTAGGTCTGTAGTTGTTTAGGAATGAAGTCTGTCTGGAAAGATAATTAGAGTATGAGGGAAAAATCAGAGAAAGGGGGGCAGAAAGAGAGTTGCAGAAAAAAAATGAGGGAGAGAGAGGAGAGGTAAGGTGGGTGGGAAAGACAGAATGGAGGAATGAGGGAGAGGAGGCTGAAAAAGGAGGAGAGGGTGGGAGTCTGAGAGAGAGAGAGGTGCATACAACAGTGAGACTTCTAACTGAGACCAAGAGGTATTGCCACTGAAACAACAAAAGCCATGATATGATATGTTGATATAACAAACTTGTTAACAAAACAGTTGCTTATTTACAT